TAAATTGCATAGTAGTGGAGGTACAGTAAGTGCCTAACACATAATGACATAATGAGTCATGACTGGAGCTGGAGGGCTAATTTGCCCTTAACTGACACAAAACCAGGGAATTAACATCACAGTAGTTTCAAGCCAATATAAGATGCATTATTTCATTTCACAGCAGGGTTTTAAACAAAATGTTAACTGTAGGAATATTGATCTATTCTTCTGTGAAATGATGAAATTGGAATTTTTAAAAAGTACATCTTAAATTATTGCTGTTGCTGTGGCACTTCTATTCACAGCACCAAGTGTGCCTAGTGTACTCAACATGCAAAGTTTGGGCACGAACAGCCTCCACATACTGGAGTCTTTTATCAGACATCAGAGGGTTTACTCAGCCTTTGAGATCGTCCCTGTTTCTAAGTTGATGAAGTAAGTGTTGTCCCTGTGCACGTCTGCCAGTCTGTTATGAACAGTGTTCATAATATTTCACTCCAAAGACCACCACCTGGAAAATGTGTTATTTAACAAAAGGATACCTGCACACAAAGAACTTTCAAAATAAGACAAACATCTCACGAAACAACCGAAGGGAGAAAGAAAACCAGAATGCGAAGGAGCTGAATTTCTCAGTGACCTTCAGCTACAGAAATTCTGTTTCAAGCTTCATTAACGTTTCTTTTTTAAAGCTTCTTTATTCACAAACAACCTACTTCCTAATTGAATCCGGGGAGAGCTCATAAATTTTAACAGAGGAGCATCCAGATTCTCTATTTATCAGGCTGGAGTAGAGCTTCTCTCCTGTTTTACAATGACTACCTCTTCATAAAACTGCTATTTAGAAAGATACACAGCTAGGGATGGAAACATTATGTTTATATGGGCAATGCGGATTTCACTTAGGGTTTGTTTGGTACACCAAATTAGGAACAATTATTTGAGTGTAAAACTGGTCTGAGATCACAAGTGAGATGAGTTTAGTACTTTTCCATTCTAGCTCTTTGAGGAATTACAACAGATTCAACAGGGATGGTAAGTACAACCAGACAGGCATTTGAATAAACCTGGCTGGATCTAGTTAATACTCTGATGTCTGTAATCTAGTAACTGCAAAATTACATGCGCTCATTTAAAATCTTACGTATACCTTTCTCAGGACCTGATCCTGTATGCATGTACAGGATCTATTTGTCATCCAAGCACTTGCTTACATAGCTTATTAGGGCTGGGGGGGGTTGTCAAGTTACCTCATGCTGCTCTGTGGAAGGAGACCGGCTGATTCTCTTACAAGCACATTCAGATAAAAAAAAAAAAAAAAAAAAAAAAAAAAAAAAATACAGAAAGCTAAATAAGAGAATCTCAGCAAATTTACAGAACTGTATTCACAACTTGATGCTTGCACAGGAAGTCCTCCCCCAACACACTCCAGACCCCAAAAGTCAATGAATTATCTGATATGCCTCTCACCAGATTATTTGAGTGCTCTGCCTTATTCACAGTCTGCATGCAGGTCAAAAAGTAAAGTAAAGTAATCACACACCTGCTGCTTACAAAGTTCTCTCACAGGCAGCTCTAGGGATACTACACGTTTATACATCTTTTAAAAAACAAAAAGATTATAAGAGATGTGCAGAACCAACACAATGGAGACAGCTTCAGGTTGAAGCAACATGGTAAAACTTGAAGCCCATTGCTTTTCATAATGCAGAGTAGAAAATACAATAGAAATTTAGGTTAAACAGTGTACACAAGTATTTTGCTTGTGACTGCCACACTTCATGCCAAAAAGCTTGAACAACATCCCTCCCAACTACATAAGAAGTAACACAAAACACCTTTGCCTCTCAGATAAAGTCCTCTACAGCAGTATATATTCACAGAACATATTTGAGCACCCATCTCCTTCTTGCCAAAACATCCAGTACCCAATTAAATAAAATAAAATATGGAATCACCTGGGCCAGGTACAGACATTACACTTTTACCAGTATAAATGATTGGAAGCCAGTCTATACCCATAACAGAAGTTTGGCAGATGCAGACTGGTTTTAGAATGGCAGAACTTAGTCCAAGATTTCCCCCCCACACCCCAAAAGGGTGAATGTGGGTGCTGTTTTTTAGCAATCTAAACTATGTTGCTTACAGAAAACCACATAACTTAGCCTGAGGAGGAATTGGTCTTTTTGAATGTCTGTACCTAGATTTCCAGGTTTTAAAAACCATCATTGCTATCCTACTTACATGACCACCAAGGGCTCAGCCAACCCACTAGCTCAGTGGCTTTCAACTGTGTTATACGCAAGGCACCCCTCAGAAAATGCCAGGTCTTAGTTTGCATTCATTTTTTGATTATGGCAAAATAACAGGGCAATACTCCTGTTGCAAAGAACTCAGCCCACAACAGGTCAGAATGACTTTGAAATCTCTGGGCTCATGTTGTGAATCACATTTGCTAATATCGCATGGCACCCTTGAAAGGGTCTCAAGACACCCTAAAGTGCCATGGCCCCTTACTTGCCAATTGCTGGCCTAGTGCAGTAATTCTCAACCAAATGCCCATGGGCTAAAGACATCTTATAGAGTCTGCTGTTACTAGGTAGCAAGCAGCATGGTGGGTAAGAGGGAGTGTGTGGGAAAGGAATTTTTTCTAAGTGCCACCCAAGCACTAGGTCAGCCCCATTCATTTCACCAGCTGACCTGCTGTCCAGTCCACCTGGCAGACTGAGCTGCTTCCTTCAGTCTGCTGCTCGTCAAAGGTTACTGAATCCTGCACAAGGCAATGCTGAGTGCTGAGATTAGCGACATGGAAAGGCTTCCATGTGAGGAGAGACCAAAGAAGCCAGGCCTATTCAGTTTAGAAAAGATGCTTGAGGGGAGATATGAGAAGGGTTTATACAATACTAAATGGCAGAGAGGAAGTCAACAGGGACTTATTATTTAGTGCCTCTCACAATACAAGAACCAGGTCACAAAATGAAACTAGTAGGTAGTACAGATAAAACAAAAATGAAGTTCTTGTTCACACGTCACATTAAAGTGCGGGACTCATTACCACAAGGTCCTGTGGAAGCTGAGAGCACAGGCAAATTCACAAAGGGATCAGACACATTCTTGGAGGAAAGGAGCATCAGTTGTTATTGAGCATAGGAGTGAGGGGCACAGCCCCCGGGAAAGGGAGAGAGGAACAGAGGGAAAAAAACCCTGGTCAGACCCAGTTCCCTTTCAGCATTTGCTCCCTGCTGCCACGTGACACAGGAGCTGGGCTAGCTGGACCTAGGGTCTGACCCAGTAAATGGCAATTCTTATGTTCTTATGAGTATCTGGGAAGATTCAGACAAGAGGGAGTCAGACGAGAATCCCCAACACATCAGGCTGCCAGGGCCAAATCCAGCCTCCTGCTTAGGGCAGGATCACTCTTTCTAAAGTGGCTTAGACAGGAAAGTCTTTTTTCCCCCTGCTGAGGCAACACCTTTTCTCAGTCCACCTGCCTACAGCAGGCCCAATGACAGAAGTCCCCCAAGCACCTTGGCTGCTGACTTTGGGGGTGCAAGAGCAACGCTGCAGCCAGGATGCCCCAGGCCAGCGGTTCTCAACCCTTCCAGGCTCAAAGCCTGCCTAAGAAAATACCAGCTCGTAGTTTGGCCATTTTGGGACTACAAAACCACCTGCGAGCACAGCACCTGCTGCAAAGAGCTCAGCCCTTAACCCTGGTGAGTCCTACTTCCAGTGTGGGGGTGAATCATGTTTGCAATTACCCCAGCAAAGGCTCTCCTGGCCCCCCAGGGTGCTGGGAACTGCACCTTCAGGAAACAGGCCAGGACTGCTGCGGGGGTTTGCTCTTGGCCTGGCCCCACTGCACTGCACTGGCCCTGCCTTTGCAAACCCAGACGTCCGATGCACCTTGAACTCGCCCCGCAGAGCCCTCATGGCACGGCCGGCACAGGGCAACAGCACCACCTAGTGCCAGCCAGGGGGAAGCACAAGGCATGGGAGAGGGAGGGGGGAAGGAAGTCCCCCCCCACAGGGTGCAGGCGCTGCCATCTCCTTTCCTCCTGGCTCCCCTGAGCCAGATACTCCCCCCTTCCCCTTTGCTTTTACAGAGACAACTAAAACTAGTCCCTTTCTTTCAGGGCTGGCTGGCTGAAGCCCAGGCAGGACAGCGCACTGCAATACTAGCCGCCTTCGGTTCCCTTCCTGCCCAAGCAGGGCAATGTGACAAGCACCCAGTTTGGTAGGATAAGAAGCCTTCCTTCCAATACTGTTCCAAGCAAGAAGAGAGAGAGACATGGAAGGGAGGAAAAGACCCAGGGACTGCAGTTAAAGCATCACACTAGGGCTCCAGAAGCACAAAGTTCAACTCTCCTGGGATTTGTCCCAAAAGCTGGCTCTGAACCACACGGCTGCAAGTGCGTATCTGGTCTCTCTGGTCTGGGCAAAGGTAGCTAGCCATAAAACACTTATATGACAATTCCTGTAGCCAGGGATGCCCATCTTCTCACACCTGCCAACTTAATGGGGAAGTAGGCTCACACAAACGCCCCCACTCTTTGTCCCACCTTAGCCATGTACAGAGATCAGCAGGAAGAAGCGTCTGTTGCTTTCTCTTCTCCCCTGCAGGTTAGGTTACAAAGAATACACACATACACAGCCCCCCACTCCTCCCCGCCAACTGTTTTGTTAGCTTGCCACCTCTTTCAAACATGATCTTACAAATTAACCAGTATCATATAAAAAAAGGCAGTAGTATTGTCTAAATAGCACTAAAAGGCATACTAGGTACATAATTAAAACCTTGTTAAGGGCTGCACTAGAGTGGAGCAGGCCCTATATTCATTGCAACATCTTTGGAAAGATAAATTGCACTGCACATGCACTATGAAATGTTCTCTAGAGAAAATGTATTTTTAATGCAGTTTAAAAGGGAGAGGGTTCTATAATGCAGGACATTCTCTCTCCTTCATATAGCAGGCCTCAGACACTCAAACCACCATCAACAGAAATCACTCAAGGCACACTTACGTATATAGATTTTTTATATATAAACATTTTACAGTGGCACTTGTGTACTCAACTGGTCCAGTGGCTTTTGAACATACAAGCATTGAGTAGCAAGAGGAAAGATCTGAATGGAACAGCAATTCGGCTTACTGCTCTTTACAGGACTGATGCACAATATGAAGTCTTAAGTAATATTACCAATAAATTAGATTAAAACAATTCAGATATTGACTCATACTATGGAAAAATGTTCAAGAGATCAAAGATACTCAATTTTAACACCATGAGGGCAAACCAAATTGTAAGCTGTTTGCCGAGAGGGATCAGTACTGAAAACTCCCAAAGAAGATTAACAAACAGTAGGGGCATTTTGTGTTTTCTCTTGTGTATTCTTTATGTCAAGCCATTAAAAACTAATTTATCCCTGCTACAGTTACTGTGCCCCTTGCACCTCCCTGACTCTGGAAGAGAATGATCCCTTAAAAAGTCCGCATAGATTCCCATCACCATCACAAGGTGAAGAATTTGGTCACTTTTTTCCTTCAAAAGTACCTGGAAGTGTTTAAACTTCTGTCAATGTCCTGCTAAATTCATCTATTTAACAACTTCCTAAACATTAACAATTACATAACCCTATTGGTAAGAGACACTAATTCCTTTGAAGTTGAAGACTTTCTACTTTGAGTCTATTTTGATAAAAACCAATATAAATGTAGTTTGTTCTCACTGTTATTCCCCCACCCCACCAAATAAGGAGACCTGGTGAGAAACGTTGCCCAACAGCAAAACACAGAATTTTCTTAAAATGAAGCCTCAGCAAAGTCCTTCAAATGAACCTAAAGCCATAAGAGCAGTAGAGCTCTATCCTGAATTCATTTAACAAATTTCAGAATACCCTGCTGAGCAACTCGAGTGGAGGCAAAGGAATTTCATGGAATGATTTGGCTTTCGGTGAAGTTGTAAGGCCACAGGCCTTTATAAAGCAAAAGCATGAATTTTTTTGGTGTTTCCACAACAGGGTCAATATCACCACGTTCTCTGCAAGCCAAAACGTTAAACTCAAGCAAAAAATGGATATTTTACAGGATAATCAATTAAAAGTGGAAACTGAGCGCCTGGCTGTTCAATGTTTCATATGACAACTCAATCATCTGTAAGCTCTGACTGAAAGGGAGGGATCTCCCAGTCGTATCCAAACCGTTAAAGCAGGATTCTGAACAGGAAAAGCCACCACACTCAGAATAAAGCTTGTTTTGAGTTGACGATTCTAACTCCACTGGCCTCAAAAAGTGTTTTTACAGTAGTTTCAGTTGTCCAACACCAGTTACAGGCTGCTGTTCCAAAGTTCATGTTGCTCTTCTCTTGTGGAACACACAAACATCCCAGACTTAAAGACTGCATTCTTTATCCCATTCCACAAAGTTAAAAACTTTGGATTTAAGAGCTGGCAAGTCTGTCCAATCAGTTTTTAGTACCCCCTAGACTGCATTTCTAGGTGTGCCATTGTGAGTCACTGCTTTCATGTTTGGGGTGCTTGCTTGATGGTTGCAGGTTCTGTGGGAAGCAACACCCACCTCAAAGACCTCATGAATGGCTTTGCGGAAACAATGGAAATTGTAGTCAATCAGACCTAGGAGGGAAGGAAAAGAAGAAGTTTCTCAGTCCAATGCCCTTAAGCGCTTAAGGAAATTCAAGCAACATTCCATATAGCAAAAAGTGTAAAAAGCATTTTCAAGAGCAATTCTGCTTTTAAGCGTTTTCTGAACAGACTTCACAAAAAACAAGAATCGTAAGTAGATTACTATGTCGAATATTTAATGAAGACAGTGCCACATTCTATCTGTTATTTTGATATAGGCCGTTTCACTGCTTTAATGCAGACACACGTGTTCAGAATACATGGTACTGTGCTAGACAGTGTTGATCAAGTCAAAAATCTGCCTTAGGAAATTAGTTTCATAGTTTCTAGTTTCATAGTTTCTAGGGTTGGAAGGGACCTGAGCAGATCATCTAGTCCAACCCCCAAAATTGTCACATGCAAAGCAGTCTTGTAAAGAAATAGGTCTGACACAGGTGAACAACTACAATGCTACCACCACCATTTAAGGAAAAAGCTTCAGGAATGGATTTTTCACCACAATTAAGGAGTTCTCATATGCCACTGAAGAGACAACTAGATAGGAAGGAAGATGAAACAGAACAGAAAAGGCAGGCAAAACATCCAGAAGTATCTGCAACTCCATCCCTAACACAGCTTTTGAACTACAAGTAGATTTAAAAACAGTACCGATGTAAGCCACAAATTAGAGGCCCAAACTAAAACAAAGATAACTGCTATGTATGGAACATAACTTCATCACTATTTCAATCATAGTTAAGGGAAAGAACATGGAGATGTTCAGTGTTATTTCTACCCATGTGGCTGCAGCAGAAGCAAGAGGCAAGTGACAGACCAAAACAGGCCATCCAATTCTCACTTCAGAGGGACGATAAAGATTACAGCAGCCTAATTTACTTGTAGTTAGCTGCACACTGAGAAGAGAATGAGGCAGAAACACAAGTCTTAACACTCAAGTTACAAGTCATTTTAACTGGCAGGCTTCTCCAATTGATACACAAACGTTAGATTTTACAGGCAAAAGTAGTTCTTTGTACTAACAGGGCTTGCCCAGTCAAGAATGTCCTTACCTTTGCGCTCAAAGCTTTCTTCTCTAAGAATGCAGACTAGGGCCAGAAATTTTGTCACTTCCTTTAAATACAAGACAGTGGTGTTATTGAGTTTGATAATTGCCATAGACTCTTTATCATACGCACTTCCACTGCCGTCTTCCTTTAACCTACAATGAGAGAGACACACAATATACACATGCAGAAGAACACCACACATGCTTCTTACCAAGACCTCATCCAGTTGCTAAACCAGCTGCCTATCCTTCCCCCTCTAGAAGGATCAAACAGGAGGATCGGTAGTCCCCAACAATCTTATGCCATTGGCTTAGGCAGTCAATATTTGCATGGAACTTGTAGCTCACCTACACCATTTTGTAGCTTTTACCCTAAACCAGTTCTAGGAGGGTTAGTCACTTACCCATATATACAAGAAACATCAATGACTACATCAATCATGTCACAGCACAACTCATAAGATTGCATATCCACAGGGGAGCTGTCTGTTGCAATGTAGATTTTGCTGACAACATCGAAGAGAAAAGCTTTTTCAATTCCTGAATTCTTCAAAAGAAAAAAAGAAAAAAATTAAATGTGTTCAGTCCTTAAACTATTCATACATTAAAAAGACTCTAATCTATGTATAATTCACACATTTTCATATATTTAATAGCAAGACAACTTAATCAGAAGGCCCAAGATTTGAACAGTTTCCACAGTCGCTAGAGTCATAATACATCCAAAAGGATTTGGTGTCAGTCTAGGAACTTGTTGGCTAATAACCATCAATGTCATATTCTGGCTGACAAAAACATTTGTTTTAAAAAAAATTAATTTGTCATTAAACAAAAAGCTACATGGAAGAAATAAAACCCAAAAGGCAATATTCTGAAATCCAGCCCCTCAGTTCACAATTCTACTATTAATAAAGAAAAAAAATTTATATATTTCAGGGAGCTGTATTTGGCATTTATCTTCTTCAGAAAATTTTCTTCTGCAGCAAGTTTACTGGCTTTTGTATCCATGCAGCTAATTAATTTAATCAATACACAGGTAGCAAAAGGTGAAGGGCAAATACTTTTGTGACGATACTTAGATAATGGACAATACTTTTATTGGCCAATGCTTATTCAAAACGTTTTAGTTTAATTCTGTATGACAAACTACAACTAGCCAAAGACATCTAAGGAATAGGTACTGTGTAGTAAAAAGGGAAAGCAAATAAAGTCAATTTCTAAACTTGTGATAGCAGAGAGTATCATACCGTGGGCGCTGACAATAAACAAAATCACAGGTCCCAGACAGTCATTTTTTCAAAGAATCCCAATTAGGTGCTAGTGCTTACAGTCTATCATCATCAAGGACGATCTACCACTAGTAACTCAGATTCCTTTAAAAAAAATTGTTCATGGGTGCACCAGCAAGCATCTGTGGTAGCCTAATCGTTTGCACACCCAGATCTACCCCAGATCATTTGCACACCGTCACCTACAAAATTGGGAATGTACCTAGGACTGCTCTCTGAAGACATCTTGCTGGTTCCTTCTCCACTAAGTTCATATTCTGTTCTAGTTTCTGAAGTGCTGCACTGCTCTGTTCTGCCTTACCTCTACACACCTACCCGTCTATCCATGTTCTAACAGGGCCATTTCCTCCTACTCACCTTTTCATGCTATTTGCCACACCTATGGAGCTCCTCTTCATCATCCACTCCTTTTTGGAAAGGTCATTTTACATACAGCCTTCTTATATTCACCAGATGAGCTTCTCTTCTCATCCAAACCACTTTTACCTTTACAATGTTAGTTCCCTGCCCCCCACACTGCTCTAAACCTCAGCTTTTTTTTTTTTTTTTTTAAACAGACAGCCAGTATGTCTTGTTAATAGCATTCCTTGCGAGTCTTCACCCTCTACCCCCTTAGACAGCTGTTCTTCAACTACCTGTAATTTAGACCACAGCCAGGCATACACTACAAATATTTACCAGCACAGCCCTGGTCACAAGCAAAATCCCTAATTGGCATGACTCTGGTGACAATTTCAGGGGTCCTGGAACATGCCACGCCAGCTGTTGCTGGCAAAGTGCTCATAATATGACTGGAGCTATACCAGCGTAGCTCATCAATACTGCTAAACCAGCAAAGTCTTTCAAGCATTGACCTGTACTCAGTTCCTCATAAAAGAACCTCATTTGTTTTATTTGCATAGCATCTTTGCTATCCCAGAGGCATGTCACTGTAATTTCAAATATAATGCTAGAGTTAAGTTAAAGTGAGAGTTATAAGACACTTACTGATATAAAGATATTTAGTAGATTTTCCAGGGTTGGCAGTTGTGGAATGAGTTTCTGCACCACTTTACTGAAGGCTTCAAATATTGAATGGTCATAGATACTGGTCAAATAAAAGCTGGGGGAAACAAACATTTTCCAGTCTAGAAAAGTTAGGTGTAAATCAAGGCTGCAATAAGTTATCAAAATTACATTTTCTGTTATTCAAAGTCTACTGTTCTGACAGAGCTTACCAGTCACAAGACTACACTTTTGTGGCCACAGCAGCAATGCATTTTGCAGGGTTGTTGGACTAAGTGCAAGACACAAATAAAAAGAGAGCAAGAAATACACTCAAACTTGTTTGGTCTTTTCATGTGCCCTAGTGTACAAGGTAAGGCTGAGATCGCTTATGGGCATCTATTACAAAGATTTAGAAATTTCTTCCTGACTTTCCACTTGGAGCATATCTACAGTGAGCTGCACTGGAACTGGTAGCAATAATTAAAAACTCTTCTAATATAGACACAACCATAAATGAAAGCTCTACTAAGCTCCTATTGACTCATAAGAACTCAAAAATGTGTGCAGCTCACCAAATGTCAAAAAAGCAACAGACAGCCCACAAAGCATCGCTGACCATGCACCAGTCAGAACTGGCACTGAAAGTCTAACCCACACCACACAAGAGCAAAGTGGAATAACCTCAATTACCAAAGAGTTGGAAACTATAAATGGCTAGGATTATACATTTTAAAAGCAAGCTAGCTATCTCTAATGCCTGGTTACACCCTGCCAAGAGCTTGTGGCATACTTTGTAAGAACCAAGTGAAGATGCTTATTACAGTCTCTGATAGGAAATGGAGGAAGAGCCACTAATTTTGCATACAGATTAGCAAAGGTGAACTATACACAGAATTTGCATTGCTCACCTAAGGTGGAGTTTTTCAAGTCCAGCATCTGCAAGGTCATCATTAGCTCTTTGATGAATATCCCTTTGAGTTTCTATTTTATGGTCATCTGATAAGCCATCAACTTTATGAATAAAAACTTCAAAGTTCATTTCTGGATTAACTTTGTAGGCTTTAGAAACGGTAATGTGCAGTCTCGTTAAAGCTTCCATGTAGTCATCCTGCAAAACCGTTTTGGTAAGGATCAATGTCAAGGCTATAAGACAATTAAGTGATCTTTCACCATCATGCCACTCTTCTATATGAGTACAAGCTAACAATACTTCCATGACAAACAGTGCTTCTGATTTTAAACAGCTCTCACAGAAGAAACTAGTTGCGATTAAAAAAAAAAAAAAAAAAAAAAAAAA